GGATTGATTCAGTGACTGGGATAATTGGGATGGGAGTGTCAGAGACGGTGCGATTGGCACAGGATAGAGCAGGGCTTAGGGCTGTTGTACATATGACTCGACAGCACATAACAACAACAACAACAACAGTGTTCCCTTGCTCTATTTGTATAAAAGCTTCTTGGTCTAGGTATAGGTTTTGCATGAGTACAATTAAGCAATTAAGTGCTCTTGGATTCCCATTCTTCTTCTCAATGTCAGTCACAATGTGTTATGATCCACACAGTCAATGCCTTTGCATAGTCAATAAATTACAAGTAGATATTCAACTAGTATTCTTTGTTTTCAGCAGGATCCATGTGACATCAGCAATGATATCCCTGTTGCCAAAGCCTCTTTTAAATCCAGACTGAACTTCTGACAGTTCTTTCAATGTACTATTTTAGCTGTTTTTGAATAATCTTCTGCAGTATTTTTCTTGCATGTGATATGAATGAATGATGTTTAATTTGAACCTCAAGTCTCAATATTGAAAGATGCATAGAAAAATCCATATACCAACTAAAAACAAAACCCTAGATGGAAGGAATGCTCAGAATCACTGTACCAAAAAGAACTGATTGATACTGAAAAATTTCAGGAAGTTACATACGAACAGGAACCAATGGTAATGAAGGAGAAAGCGGAAGCTGCATTGAAGGCATTGACAAAAAATAACGCCTCGAGAATCGATGGGATACCAATTGACTTGTTTCAATTAACAGATGCACCTTTGGATGTACTCACCAGTCTATGCCAGGAAATTTGGAGGCCAGCTACCTGGCCAATGGATTGGAATAGGTCCATATTTGTTCCCATTCTGAAGAATGGCGAGCCAGTCTCTCTCACCCATCCACCCAAAATGCCGAAGGGAAAGAAGGCCAAGGGGAAGAAGGTGGCCCCGGTGCCGGCCATGGTCAAGAAGCAGGAGGCCAAGAAAGTGGTGAATCCCTTATCTGAGAAAAGGCCCAAAAACTTTGGCGTCGGGCAGGACATTAACCCAAAAGGGACCTTACCTGCTTCGTCAAATGGCCCCGCTACATCCGGCTGCAGCGACAGAGGGCAATCCTCTACGAACGACTCAAGGTGTCACCCTCCATTAACCAGTTCACCCAGGCCTGGGACTGCTAGACGGCTACTCAGCTGCTGAAGCTGGCCCACAAGTACCGACCAGAGACCAAGAAGGAAAAGAAGCAGAGACTGTTGGCCTGGGCTGAGAAGAAGGCTGCTGGCAAAGGAGACACCCCCACCAAGAGACTCCCTGTCCTCTGTGCTGGGGAGAATACGATCACCACCCTGGTGGAGAACAAGAAGGCTCAACTAATGGTGATCGCACACGACGTGGACCCCGTAGAGCTGGTGGTCTTCCTGCCGGCCTTGTGTCGGAAGATGGGTGTTCCCTACTGCATCATCAAGGGCAAGGCCAGGCTGGGCCGCCTCATCCACCGGAAGACCTGCACCACTGTTGCCTTCACGCAGGTGAACACAGAAGATAAAGGTGCTCTGGTGAAGCTGGGAGAAGCCATCAGAACCAATTACAATGACAGATATGATGAGATCCCCCGCCACTGGAGAGACAATGTCCTGGGACCCAAGTCGGTGGCCCACATCACCAAGTTGGAGAAGGCCAAGGCCAAAGAACTCACCACTAAACTGGGCTGATGTACACACCGACTCTTCTGTACATAAGAATAAACTTATTACACTGTCAAAAACAAAACAAAAAGAATGACGATCCAACAGAATGTGGAAACTCTCGAACAATAACATTAATGAGAAAAACCTCTTCATGATTTTAAATCAGGCGATGTTCCCTTGCTTTATTTGAACAATAGCTTCTTTATCTGGGTATAGATTCCATGTTGTTGTTGTTGTTATGTGCCATCGAATCGCCTGCGACCCATCACAACCCTATGTACAGCAGCTCTGAACTCTGCTCTGTCCTGAGCCAGTCTAATAAATTTTAACACACATTGCCCCAGTTACTGTATCAATCCACCTCATGTGCTGTCTGTCCACCCTTCCAAGCATGATGTTCTTCTCCAAGGACCAGATAAGGGCTTTCTCTTTGGTGGATTTAAACCAGAGACAGGAAAACAGGCGGTGGGAACTTACAAGTTGGAAGCTGATGTCAGCTTTCTGCAGTTCTTGGGAGTGGGAGAGGGTTGTGTATTCAGACACGTCCCCATTCTCGGTCAGCACACAGTTTGATAAGAAACTTACATTGTTGCAAGGCTGCAGCTTTCCCCCTTCCCACTTCCCTGCCCTCACAGGTAAGTACATTACTTGCTGGAGTTGGGAGTCTCTTCTCCTCCTCCCTTAGGAATGCTCCTCAGAAGAGCGAGGGGGGCTCCCTCTTCACTAGCAACATCCCCAAGAACATGAGATGAAGTTTCACCATCTTTGCCTCCCAGGAGCACCCCGGCTGCACCCTCTCCAAGACATTATCTGTTTGTTCTCTTGGTAGTCTATGGGATGTTCAGCGCTCTTCTCCAACACCACAGCTCAAAGGCGTCAATTCTTTTTCTGTCATCCTTATTCACTGTGCAGCTCTCAGACACATAGCAAGTGACTGGACAGACCATGACCTAAATCAGGTATACCTTAGAGATGCAAATAAAAATAACAATGAGATATCATTTGACCCCAGCAAAAATAGCAATGTTCAGGTCGAAACCAACAACAAATGCTGGCAAGAGTGGAAAGACTGTAATTCTCATACAATGTTGGTGGGGATGTAGAATGGTGCAACCATATGGAAAATAATTTGGCACTTCCTTAGAAAGTTAGGAGTAGGAATATCACTGACCTAGCAATCATACGACTAAGTATATATCCCAAAGAAATAAGAACTCTATCGACATAAGGACATATATCTTTATTGCAGTATTATTTACAATAGCAAAGTGTTAGAAACTCAGTAAGCAGATTAATAGCTAAAGAAACTGTGGTACAATCACATAATGGAGTATTATGCATCACAAAAAAACATCAAGAGCTCTGGTGGCCTAGGGCAAGAACTGGTGCTGGAATCCCGAAGGCACACAGCTCAAGTCTACTATCTGCTCCATGGGAGAAGAATGGGAAATCTCCTTCCATGTGATTAAGTTGCCTCTGAAAGCAGATGGTAGACTTGAGCTGTGTGCTCAATGAATAAGGATACATACACAACAACTAAAAGACATCAAGAATTTGTGAAATACTGCACAATATTGATGAATCTAGAATAAATTATGCTGATTGACATAAGTTAGTGACAAAAGGACAATTATGGTATAAGACCACTAATATAAACCATTAAGGAAAGATTTCCACACAGAATCAATCTTGGTTGGCTAACAGGTATGAGAAAGGAGGTATAATGGAGCAAAAATTAATAAATCAGTGAGGTAGATGGAAGAGAAAGGCAATACTCAATAAAGATTTGATGACAGGTCGTAATTAAAATTGTATTAATCAATTGTAGTTCATATTCTAAAACAAAATATTATGAATGACTAAATGAAAAACAAACATGATTTGTAAACTTTCAAATTAAAAAAATTATCAGATTTGTATCTTAAAGTAATTTTTTAACACTGCTAATAAATTTCTGCTTTGGCAATGAAAAATAGTTTTTAAAATGTCAATGAATTTTAATTTTTTTACATGGGGAAGGATTTTTCTAAACATGATAACCATGGTGTAATAGGAATTAAGAGCATTTCTAGCCAGGTTATAAGTACTTCATGTAATTTAGCACATTTAAACCCTGAAATACAACATTTTCCTTGTTTTGTGGATAATGTGCATAGTGGTTGATTGATTGTTTTATTTTTTCCAAACTTGCATGCATTTTTCTCTGTTTTGAGCACTGAATGTGTGTTACATTTGTTGGCAGAAAATAAATATTATGAAGACTTGCTCAGCAATAGTTGCTGAGAAAAACTTCTAATTCGTTCCCAGGTGAACTGCTTAGCTGAAGTTGTTTGTAATTATCCTGTTCACTGGAAGTCGTATTCGCCCTTGGAAAGTTCTTCTAATTGGCATGTTTTCTTGATGCAATTGGGAGACCTGTGCTTTGATGAAATCTCTGAAGTCGTCAAGCTTTGAGGCCATGGCTCCATCCCTCGGGGCCACTGAGACAGGGCCGCCTGAGGAGTAGCTGTCCTGGCCTCTGTGGCTTTGGGTTGCTTCCCAAAACAATCCTTTCTAAACGTCACACATGGTGTGCTTCCTCTTACTCCCCTGGGGGAACACTGATATTTTGCATCATGATTGTTTCATCAAGATTACTCAAAGGAATATTGTTTTCTTCTGACCTTTCCAAGGACTCACGTGTAATTGCATAGGGATGTGTGACCACTCATACATGCGCAGAGAGATACTTGAGAAGCCAATTAGAAGAACTTTCCGAGGGCGGCTCACCCATCCTAACCCCCAGCCAACTCTTTGCTTGGGTCTCCTACACCCCAAGTGTGCCTGTTTCCTTTGCTCTTTATTGGTGACAGGGCTTTCTGGTAGAATTTCTAGACATTTTCTACAGGCTCCCACTCTGTTGTTCCTTGTCTGGTGCCATCAATGCCCCCTTGTCTTTGCTAGGTAGTCTTCTGTCAAGAGTTTCCTGTAGGAGGCTGGACGTCTGAATGCAGAGCACCATCTGGAGGGGAAGGCTTCTTATCTCTCTCGGCTCTGGGAGAAGAAGGTCTTTGGCTCCTTGCATTATCTGCAGCCTGGCATCTCTTGGATATTGGCCTCATGCTTCTCCTGGGTCTTGGAGGTTCTCAGCACAGGGACCCTGAATCCAAAGGACAGGCTCCACCCCTGGCTCTCCTTTCTGGGTGATACTGAGGTCCCACGCTGCTCAGTTCTCTTTCCCTGGATCTCTTGTAAGAAGGGGGGGGGGAGAATGCAGGCCACGCCCTAGGGAAATTCCCCTCATGTCACACCAGAGCACCAGTTGTACCTAGTACCTAAGTAAGGAGTGTTGCATCCTCATCCCACCCCATTCCCTCACATCAGGATACATCATGGGGGATGGTGACATCATTACCTAGCTAACAAACCCGCTGAGGATCACAGCCCAGATAAACTCACACTTTTCCTATTTTCAGGAGAGCACGGTTTAAACCATGACACCCTCAAGTATCTTCACCTCACTAGTTTCACCCTAGGCCAGGTTGGCATCTCACTTATCTGAAGCTTCCCCATCTGCAGATTCCTGAGGGCATTGATTGTCTGGAGCTTCTGCTCAAACAGATCAGAGTAGGGTACTCACTTGTTCACAGGGGGAAATCAACAGCAGGGGCTGTCCAGAAGTCTTATCCTTGATCTTCCCTAGGCCTTACTATCTGGACCCCCTAGCCTGGTCTACCACCCACCACCTGCAGCTTAGAGACAGCAGCCCTAGCAGGGAAAGGACAGTCTCAGGGCAGATGCGTTCTGGCCCTTCTGCTGGGACCTGACCGCTTCTCACCTGCCCCTGCCCCTCAGCGGGTGCAGCAGAACTGCACTTTCTTGGCGTTTGGGCTCCAAAGGGGATTCCAAAGCTGAGCGCCTACAAGGCCCACCCACCAGTGCTCACCACTCAGCCCTTGGAGAGAGAATTCCTCTCTGCCTGATGGCACTTCCCAACAGACGGGGGCCAGAGACAGGGCTCCAAGGTGGGGCGAGCGGTAGCCCTGGTGACAGGAGTGCAAGGTGCCCGCCCAGGGTGGAGGAGACAGCGCCCTAACCACTTCCCCTGTGGTGAGCAGGGCATGGCCCTGCAACCCGTTAGTTGGCGAGGAGGGCTGGTAGGCAGGGCCATCTGGGCTCTGCTGAGCCTGCAAGATGCGGGGAGCCCTGCCTCTGGCCTGCTGAGCAGAACCCCCTCGTGGGCCCCCAAGCCTACTGGGCCCTCCTCCCCTCCAGCCTGGGAGGCCCCAGTGAGTCAGGCCCAAGCCGCCCACCCGCTGGCTCCTGGCCCCAGGCCCCTCCCCTGCGTGGCCTGCAGCACCTCCTCCTGCTGTCTGCTCAGCTCTGCAGAGGGAAGGAGGGATGAGGGCAGGAGGCCCCACATCTCTGCACCCCAGTGGTCCTTGCCCAACCTTGAGCCTTTCTTTGGCCCTGTTCCAAGCTGCAATGGGGTTTCCCAACCTCCTCTCCAGCCTCCTTCCTCTTCCCCTCCCCCAGCCCTCCTGCCAGCACAGGGTCAGGGGATGCAGGTCCCTGAAGATGGACACTGTGAAGGCACCCATCATCCCTGCCTCCCCACACCACTACCTTCAGTCCCTTACTCTCTGGAGCCCAACCTCACTGGACCCTCCTTGGGAATGCCTGCCCTTCCCCAGGCACCCACGTGCCTCTGATTGCACCATACTGTCATGCTGTCTGCCCTCCCCTGCAGGACATTCCCCCACCCACCCAGGCTCTGGGCAAACTGGCTGATCCACACCCCACTTCCCACTGGGTGGCACTCCCTCCTCCCTGGACGCCTACATCTGGGGGCTGCCTGCACCCAGCCCCTGCCTGGGACTGTCACTCCTGTCCCTCACAGACAGTAAAGCCATCGTGGACGGGAACCTGAAGCTGATCCTGGGCCTCATCTGGACTCTGATCCTGCACTACTCCATCTCCATGCCCATGTGGGACGAGGAGGAGGACGAGGAGGCCAAGAAGCAGACACCCAAGCAGAGGCTCCTGGGCTGGATCCAGAACAAGCTGCCACAGCTGCCCATCACCAACTTCAGTCGGGATTGGCAGAGCGGCCGTGCCCTGGGCGCCCTGGTGGATAGCTGTGCCCCTGGTGAGGCCGGGTCATGCTCTGCAGTGGCTGCTGGGCCAGGGCCAGGGGATGGTTCGTTCTTTGAGGTCCTAGGGTACGTGGACTCACAGCTCTCTCCTCCCTGCAGGCCTGTGTCCTGACTGGGACTCCTGGGACGCTAGCAAGCCCGTGAACAATGCAAGGGAGGCCATGCAGCAGGCCGATGACTGGCTGGGCTTCCCTCAGGGCAGAGATCTAATTTAAAATGGCCCTATGACTGATAGTAGTAATAGAAAATGGTTCAACCACTCCAAAAAACAGCTTAGTGCTTCCTTAGAACACTGAGAATAGAAATCCTATTTGATGCAGCAATGCTACTACTAGACATATATCCTAAAGGAAGAAGAGCTACACCACAAACGTGTATGTGCACTCATGTTTATTGCAGTGTTATTTACAATAGTAAAGAGCTGCAAATCAACCCATGGGTCCATCAATGAATGAATGACTAAAAAAGTTATGGGAAGAAAGGGAGGGGGTGTCAAAATGATGAATTTGTTCAGCTGGATGGAGGGAGAAGCAAAACACCATAATGAGTTAATTAGATATTGAAATTAATTGCATTAAACACTTATCCTTAATGATAGAAAACAAAATGTCTGGGAATGATTATATGGAAACTAATATGATTTGCAAATTGTAATGCAAATAAAAAAGAAAAGAATTTATGCATACACAAAAGTAAAATGAAAATGGCCCTAGCACCTTTGAATGCAGTAGTGCCCTGTATAGGCACAGCTTAATCACAAAAGATCCATGTTTTCAAGGAAGGGTCAAGCTCGAATATGCATCAGAAATGAAGGTGTTTGTTTTCTGTTGTTGTTATGTCATTCTTTTTTAATGTAAATTACGAATCTACAAAAAAGAGAGAGTAGTATGAAAGCCCATCTATCTTACACTCAGCTCCTGTAGGTATCAACAGATGGGTCCTAACACGTGTTGAAGTAATGAAAGAAAAGGCGGCAACTTGAGTTTGCTTAAATAAAGGGATGCTTACTGCAAGGCGAGATGGAGCCAGAGTGCTGTTGGGTAGCAAGGACCTAGTGGTTTTGTTGCTTTTCTTCCTTGCTCATGGTCCTGCTCCTGCTATCTCTCTGGCTTGGCCATCACCTCCCTCTCCTCGCTTTCTGTCCAAATAATGACCTGCTGCCATCATAGCCCCCTAATCTCCTGGGAGCATTTTTACTAGCAATTGAGTAGTCATTGTGCGTCAGAAGCTTCGCTACACTAATTGCTTGGGGTTGGATATTACATGCCAGGTACTGGCATCAACAACTCAAAAACTGTCAAATCAGAACTGACTCATAGCTGACCCTCAAGCAGGTTTTCAGAGTCTGCAAACTGCATGGGAGGAGATTCTCCACCTTTCTCTCACAAAACAGCTGGTGGATTCGAAACACTTGCTTTTTGATTGGCAGCACAATTCCTTACCCATTTTGTTGTTGTTGTTGTTATATTCTGTTGAGTCAACCATGACTCACAGCAACCTATGAACAATGGTTCTGAATCTTGTTCTATCCTGAGCCAACCTCATACTCTCTGACCCAATTATCACAGTCACTGTGTCAATCCATCTCATCCCGGGTCTTCCTCTCCCGTGCTGACTCTCTACTCTTCTAAGCATGATGTCCTTCTCCAAGGACTGGCCCCTCCTGACAGCATGCCTAAAATATGTGAAATGGAATTTCAAAATCCCTGCCTCAAAGGACCAACTTGGTTTCACTCTCTCCAGGACAGACCTGTTTGTTCTCTTGGCGAGAGTCCATGGTATGTTCAATACTCTTCTCCAGTACCACAATTCAAAAGCATTGAGTCTTTTTCTGTCTGTCTTAGTCACTGTCTAGTGAGGCATAGCAAGTAATTTTTTGCGAAGACTATGATGGCCTGGATCAGGTGCACCTTAGTCTCTAGACTGACACTGTTGCTCTTCAACACTCTGGAAAGGTCCTTGACAGCAGACTTTCCCAAAGTAACTCGTATTTTGATCCTGTCTGCTGATGTCAAGACTGTTGACTGTGGATCCAAGCAAAATGAAATTATTGACAATCTCTATCTTTTCTCTGTCACAATACTGTCAAACATTACCCACTAAGCCCCCAGAAAGAAATCACAGTTCTTGCTTTCAAGGAGTCACTAGGCTACTTGGAAGAGACAGAAGGGGCAATGGTCAGAGTCAGCTGCACAGGCTCCCAGATTCCAGGGATGATGAAGAGTCAGCTGCTCTGGAGGCGGAAGTAGTGTAGACACTGAAATGTCTGAGTGCCCAGTGTCGTGACGGCTGCTGCTGCTTCGGTTTGCATTGCTGCACTGCAACTTTGCTGTTTTCTAAGCAATGGAGAAAGTCAGCAGTTGGCCTTGGGGAAGCTCCAGTTGGATTTTTTGTTAAAGAAGTGCCTGGCATAACTTACTGTTTGGGTCCTCTCAGCGTGGCCTGCTTCCTGTCAGTGTCCATGATTCTGACACTGTAACTCCCTCTCTGAAAGCCAGGGCATCACTTCTTTCCTTGACCACGACAACGGGGCACACTCAGAACCAGAGCATGCTCCTCACAGGAATTGGAGGGGAACTAGGTTTGGGAGGAATAACCCTCTGGACTTTTGAAAGGAGTCCAGGTTTGGCCTCACCTTCCAACTCAACCAGTGTTGAGCTGGCATTGCATCTGATTGTGGTTCTGCAGGAGTCGCCTGAGAGCACCCTTGACTTCCTGGTTCCTGAGACAATAGATCATTGGGTAAAGCATGGGGGTTACATTGGTGTAGATTAGGGACACAATTTTGTCTTGTTCTGGAGTGTAACAGGACTTGGGGCGAATGTAGATGAATATTGCACAGCCATAGTGCAGAACAGAGACCAGTAAGTGTCCGGCACACGTGGAGAAGGCTTTGCTTCTGCCCTCTGCCGAGTGGATTCTGAGGATGGCGGCAATTATAAATCCATAGGAAAGCAGGATCAGCAGGAAGGGAATCAACAGGATGAGCATACAGACAAGGAAGACAGCAATCTCGTTGGCGCGAGTGTCAGAACAGGCCAGGAATAGCACAGCAGGGATGTCACAGAAGAAATGGTTGATTTCATGGGACTGGCAGAAGGGCAGCAGGAAGATCAGCGTGGTGAGGGCGAGCGATAGCGCAAACCCACTGCCACAAGCCAGCACCAGCATCTGCAGACACAGTGTTCTAGTAACAATGAGTGGGTATCGCAGAGGGTTGCAGATGGCCACAAAGCGGTCGTAGGCCATGACTGCCAGCAGGAAGCACTCTGCCCCACCCAGGGCAATGAAGAGGAGCATTTGCAGGGCACACCCCAGGAAGGGCATTCGTTGGTTCTGAGACAGGAAGTTAGCCAACATGTTGGGGACAATAACCAATATGTAACAAATTTCAATGGTGGACAAGTTGCGAAGGAAAAAATACATGGGAGTCTGGAGGCAGGAGTCAATGAGGGTGATGAGCACGGTGGTCGTGTGCCCTGCCAGGGTGATGAGATGCACGATGAAGAAGGTTCCAAAAAAGAGGAGCTGTAGTTCAGGCAGGTTCCTGAAGCCCAAGAGAATGAACTCCGAGCTGAAGGTCTCGTTTTCTGCCAGTGACTCCATTCTGACTCCCCTGCATAGACCTCTCGGGGTCACGGCACCTGGAGCACTGGTGAGCAGGTAGCTGGCTCTGGAGACCCTCTACGTCCTTTTCCGGTACTTGGCTTTCATTTTCATTCTATGAGCTTTGTAGGTCCTGCCATCCAGCCCCTGAGAATGTAGCACTGCTCACTGCGGTATCTCCTGGGCGTACCTGTTGAGTTACTAAACATATGACTCAAGATGAGGAAAGTCTAAAGATTAGGTTCATGGTTCGAGGCCACCAGCTGCACCATGGAAGAAGGATGGGCAGTCTCCTCCTGTGCGATTAACTGTCTCTGAAAACCCGCTGGAAGGTCAGCTATCGATTGATTCTGACTCTACAGTACACAACAACAACAACAAGTAGCTGATGTCAGAGCTGTTTAATGATGCTGTCTCACACTGCCTGTGGGTCTGAATTGACTTACCACTGTCCCTTCATCAGGTCAGAGGTCATAAATCGCACTGGAGGTGGCTGCGCATCCTCTCTTGAGATGCAGGGTGCAGGCACCCAGGGAAGAGGGAGAACCCCATTGGGAACTAGGGCCGTGCACTGATCCCTTCTGTCCCTCACCCTCTGGAGCCCAACCTCGCTGGACCCTCCTTGGTCGTCCTTGGCTGTGCTTGCCCTTCCCCTGGCGCCCCTGCGCCCCTGATCACACCATATTGTCATGTACCAACAGCTGGCCTTTGAGGTACCAGGGCGGCTCCGAATGGACTATACAGCACCTCAGGTCCTTGGTTTGACGAGGTGATCTTAAAGACCCTTTCCACTTTGCGCATTGTTTATAGTAACCTCTTTCTGGAGTTCCTGGAGCTAAATGTCTGGAGAAGGACGTCTAGCGAGTAGGAGCTGCTGCCTCCCCTGTGACTGTGCTCCTCAGTCTGCCCAGCATCAAGAAGGCTTGACACAGAGACTGTGGCACAGTTCACATAGGTTATCGATAGCACCACTGTGAGTTGTACTCAATTTGATGCTATCTAACAACAATTGCAGAGAGATCCCAGTTCCTGGCCTTCCCCTTCCAGAGTCAGGAGAGAGTCTCTAAACCAGATAGTTGCCACAGCACTCAGGGGTCCCCAGCCACAGGGCTGCTAAATCCTACAATTCTTTGAATGTCTTTCTGTCGACCTCAATAGCCTATAAGCTCGACAATAGCAACAGTGATGTCTTGTCCGGATGCTGAAACATCAGAACATACTTGCTTATTTCTGTGCCATCCCCATTCTCTCCAGGGTCTGGCCTAGAGGAAGCAGCTAGCAAATACACTTGAAGAATGAGTGAGATTAGGACATCTTGGACATTTAGTGATAGTTGAAATCATGATTGTTCAAAGAGCGTGTGTGGACTGAGGGGGAAAGGGGACAAAGGGGAGGGCACAAGGAAGAGGAACTTTCTAGACAATGGGGTAACGGAGGGGTGGTCTTTGAATAGTCTTTATCCAAGAGTGTGGGGGAAGGAACTAAAACCAGGCAGCTTTCCAGATGAGAGAAGAGGCTTGCTTCCTCCTTCCTCTGGGATCACTGGGTGGGAGGGACATGGAGGCCTTGGCGACAGGACTGATGAAGTAAGAAGCCTCTGATTTCTTCTTGCACATCCCCCTATAATGACAATCTTTCTAAAGATTCTAGAGACTTCATAAACCAGCAATCAACAGGAGTTAAGGCTATGCCATTTTTATTGGTGCCATTAAAGCCCAAAATGGGTTTAATAAAACCTGAAAACCAACTTTGGAAATAGCTTTACTTGGTTTAAAAGCTGGTTGGAGTTCCAGGGTGCCCAGTCCTTTGTGTGGGATGTTGAGTTGATTCGGTTTTCATTTACCTAGCAGACAGCTAAGGATTCTGGTGGTGTAGTGCGTTGTCTCTTGTGCTGCTAATCAAAAGGACAGCAACTTAGATCCACCAGCCACGCTACGAGAGGATTACAGAGCCATTTCCTTCCTTTATAAAGGTATACAGTCTTGGAAGCCTAATGAAATTTCTCTGTGAATTGGAGCTGACTTGACAGCAATGGGTTTGGTTTTGTAACAGACAATTAAAGGCTTTAAGCCACAATGATCCCAAGAGGGTGACATGCTCACTCCTCACTGTATCCCCTACCCACATCCAGCCCTACACCGGAATCCTAAAGTCTCTGTCCTGACAAATTGTCCAGCCTGACAGGGGTTCCCTCCACCATGTCTCCCACCTCTGTGGTCACAGGTGCCTGACAGAGACCCCTTTCCCCCAACCCTGTCCGCTCTCCCAGGAGCCTGTCTATCTCTTGTGACAGGTTTGAGTCTTCTCTGGACCTGTCCCTTTGGTCTCAGCTATACCATCTCACTTCCGCTTTACCCCCTGTGCCAGTGCAGAGGCACTGGAGTACCATAAACCTTGAGCATGCTGAAAAGCCTGGATAGCAGAGTCACATATGAGTCTCATGTTTAGAAGGAAGCTCAAGGCTTGCTTCGGCCCCCATATATAACAAGGCTTAGCCATGTGCTTCATTTCCTTCTCTCTTTGTTCCAGGCATATAAACACCTGTGCACATGCAAAACCACACATGCACACACTCTCATACACACATGGAAGTGCTTACACACTTAATAACCCTCACATACATGCATGCATATTTACCCACACACCTGTGTGTATAATATGTAATCTACATTGTAAACACCTGAACACTTACAACCAAAATGTACACACACAAATCAACACACATATAAACATGCATGCACAAGAATATGCATTCATACACATACACTTATGTACACAAATATATACACGCACACATGCACACACATATTAACACCTCCACACACCCACACACACATCTGCATACACACTCAGGGCACTCACACACATACACACACTCACACGTTGAACATTTAAATGGAACTGTAGTCTGCAAACTTACTGCTCAGATGGCTTCCACTTAAGAACCTATCTGCCAGTGCTTCAGTCAGCACACACCGGTTTGCCTCAGTCTCTTTAACTGCTGTATTTCATGGGGATGCATTACAATTTAACTCGTTATAATTGAATAAAAAGGAACACATGGTAACAAAAACCACCTGGAAATAGCTTGTAATAATCCTTCCTAACTTGGGCCTTGAAGTAGCTTCTCATTCCTCAGTCTTCCAGTGCGCAGCGTCTGAACACCGTTGGCAAAGAGTTGGGGCTGCCTGGGAGATGCCAGATCAACAGGTAGAGCGGGATGCTGGGGAGGAAAGCCTCTTGGCACGTCTGTTACCTGGTCTGCTGTTGGTGAGAAGTCTGGGCAGGATTGGCACCCCATTTTCAGGGAAGCAGGGTGGGCGTGAGGAGGCCACTCTCAGCAATGCCGTCTTCTGAAGCCCAGATGATGGCTTGCCAACCTCTCTGGACCACAGGGAGCCGTCCTCAGAAGTATTGCCTGGTGGCTGCTTGCAAGGGAGTGTCCTTAGAGAAGCTGCCCTGCTCTGTGACCTGCATTAAATAGTAGTAAAGGCCCTCAGGAAGGGGGCCATACCTTCACCAAGGGGAGTGTCTTACCCAGGGCACAGAGTTGGAAAAAAGCTGAACCCAAACAAAAACCCAATTACTTAGACTTTATTTGTGAAATTCTGATAATGGAGCCCCTTCCAGTTCCGGGAGATGCGCAGATATCCCAAAGGCTGTGCCTCTTTGGTGGTTCAAATCCAATCTCTTCTGTGGAAAGTCAAGTGTGAGTCAGTTCCAACTGGACGGTGCTGAGATTTTTTTAAACATATTTTTAAAATACTATTTAACTAGGATGAGCTGAGATTGCACATTCTCATTTTAGGATCACTAGCTTGGTAACAGGCCTCACCAGGCTGGTAAATGGACAGGTTTCCTTGGGTGCTATCAGCTGAGCTATTTCTGCTAGAAACGTGTGTAAAGTGGGGGATGGAGCCCCAGACTGGTGGCCACTTAGGGCTCTGCCCACTGCTGTGACAATGGGATTCTTTGAATGGCCAAAAGGCTACATAGTCTGAATTCTCAGACCTTCCAACTCTTATTTGTATAATCAGAGTCCTAACACCTCTCTCCACTTCACCTTCAGGCTGACCACTGCTGATGCACATGTAACCCAGCTGTCTATACCTATGCAAAGCATGTCCACAGCTTCTTCCTCCAGCCCAGGCCACCGTGCTGATGACCTCAGCTCTCTCTTCTTCCCTTGCATTGGCCCCTCACCACGACTATCCTTTCTAGGAATGCAGAAACCCCTTCCCAAGCCATTCCCACGCCTCATCAGCAACAGGGACAAAGTCTTTGAGTTCATGCCAGACTCTGAATCAAGACAAAGCCTTCTCCCTAGCCCTGCAACTAGCTCTGTTTGAGCTGAGAGTCATATAAAAGCTCCCTTGAATTGTTCCAGCCACTTCTGTCTATGAACAGTCTCAAAAGAGGGTTTTAAGGTGTCCAATGCGGGTGAGCGCACGACAGCTCTCCAGCCCCTTCCCCTCCCTCTTCCTTTTCTCTAGCCCCTCTTTCCTCTTGGCCACATTTTATAAAATGAAAACTCTCCTGCATTTTCATGGAGATGAGGGCCAGGGACACCTTGGCACCATGGGCACCCAATGGAACAGGCCTTGGGGAAACTCCGTGACTCAATATTGCCTTACACGTGAATGAGACCAACCTAGGAAACAAAAGGCCTCGTAAGGAAGCTACTGAGAGACGCTAGGGAGCCAGAGGAGAGACCAGACCTGGAGGCAGAGGTCAAGGCCTCAGAAATTTAGCAAGAGCTGAAGACACACCACTGTGTGAACATAGAGGTCATGGAGGCTGTGGGGGTATAACACATCCTCAGTTTAGTGCCAAAGTTACCCAAAGGGAGTACTTGATACTGAGGTTTTACATGTAAACCTGGCACTTTGAAATAGGGCACCACAGATGAGACTTTAGCAAACTCTAAAAGCTGTTACAGCTCAGGAGCTCACCCCTCAGATGCTGTTCCCAGCTGAGTTCTGGTGATAAAATTCTGCCTG